AACTTATTTCCTCGAGTTACATTGGTGATACATTTCTCATTCAATTAATTTCATTCTCTCTTCACGGCAAAGCAAAAATACATAAAAACTCATAACATCTTCATTAAAATTGTAAAATACAGAAGAAAATAAAATACCAACTACAATTAAAACAGTTAAAATTAGAAATTCTACACAAAAACAAGCATTTGGGCAGTGAGCAAGAAGGCAGATTTTTTGGTGCACAAAACAAAGTTCACTTTTGGTTCCACACTGCAAAAAGACACTGAAGGCACAGAAACTAACTTAATTCACTATTATACCGAGTTTCAAATGTAAATAAATGGCGGCTCGTTAGGCTCAACTCAGCACTTAAACTTTTTAATTGTCGATCACTCTAGAACTATTGGATGCAGATTAACAAAAAACATAAAAAACCACATAATTCAATCTCTTTTAAAGTAAAATATGTACAATTTACCAACATATAAAAAAAAAAAAAAAAAAAAAAAAAAAAAACTAAGCTCACCCAGACAGGTAATAGAGAGGGAATATATATAGCAAAGCCGACTGCAACAAAAAAGGGAGATGCACAACTGCTTGTTATAGCAATCGCATATATGAAATTCCAACGTTCTATGGCTACTCGTTCTTGGGTCATGTGAGATTCATACATACGTACAGATGTCAAGAAAAATCTCTTCTGAATCCATTTTAAATCTATTTCACAATCCTTTTTGGCAAAAGGTTTTACACTGTTCATACATACAGATGTCATGCAAAAATATATCATTCAAATAGTTTCGAGGGCAGTTGACATGGATATTTTCATGGAATGATAACCGAAATTTTTTGCAATTAGAATACTTTCTTACTTCATACAGGAAAATAAAAAGTGTAGAGCTGTTCAAGGAAACAAGGCCTGGGAGGAGACTTCTGTAAAATCTTTATATCTTATTTTGTAAGTTACTGCTTGTAAGAGTAGGTTTGAAGAAGGATTTTAATCTTAAGAATTTAAGAGCTTATCAATGTCGCTAAAGACCTTCGTTGCGATTATTTAAATTCTGGTGGGGAACAATGCAAAATTCACTTTCACTAATTAATCAAGTTACTTTATGTTACTTTTTAGACCTTGATTGACACTTCCTGTTCATTTGAGCGTGTTCTGCCTCTCGCAACCAAATTACTAAGTGTTGCAAGCTTAGATAAGATTTTTAGTTTTTAAGTTGTTTTTGCATTATAATTGCCAATACAGTCAAAAGTCTTTAATCTGGACATCCATAATCCAGAATGATCTATAATCCGGACCTCAAAGCTACAAACTTTTGGCGCATGCATCACGTTTACGCATGCATGTTTAATGTATAACGGATGGTATAAGCTAAGCTAAAATTATCTAATTATCTATTTCAGTTAATGTTGCAGATTACATTGTTCCTTAATCTTCTAACTGGATTCGGCTTATTATTTTTTGCAGACTGTTAGAGCAATTTTATAAAAGCTTGAACTTTCGATTATGTCAAAAAGAATTTCCGATTCTGGAGCTACCAAAGGATCTACAAAGTGAAAGCATGTTCCGATGTCCATCAAACAATGTTTTTATTTTATTCGGCTTATATGCATTAAGCATGCGTGCGTTGAGAGGAAAGTTTAATAAAGTAAAAAATAAATATAAAGGTTTTTTTGGGGTAAATTTTGATACCCTTTAGATCATAATTGCTCTTTATTTCATAAATTACGGTTTCATATTTTTAATTTTATAATTTCTGCATGCCATCTTACCAGATTTAAACTGATGATCTATAATCCGGAATCGCCAAAGTCCCGACGAGTCCGGATTAAAGACTTTTGACTGTATTTGAATATCTACAGTGGTTAGGTTCGTGAGACAACTTCCCATAATTGGTTTGCTTAGCTTACTTGAATTTAAATTTATATTTGATTGTTCATTCAAGTTATCTCACCATACTGGCTGAGTTGTAAGCACCAGATGCGCCTTTTATTCTTAGTTTTCAATAAAAGGATCTTTTTACACCCTTTTTAAGTTTCAGTTATTGTTTTAGACATAGCAATAATTTGCTTGGCAATTACCTAGAGTTTGGATAACTGGTGATTGTTGAATGTATCAATCTTTATAAGTTTTTAACTGCACATTAAATTACTACAGTGCTATTACTGCAAATGAACTATTCCTTTAATGTTTTCATAAATGGGAAGCTACGATTAAGTTTTCAAGGTATACAAATACGAGTAAATGCACAGGCTAATTCTCATCAACACGTTGAACGCGGCGCCGGTCCCTAGGCAGTGAACTTTCTATGTGGCCGGTGTCGGTCCATGGGACCAACAGTATTAAAGTTAAAAAATAAATATAGTCTCAATGAAATGTGATCAAATTTAGTTTTAATGAAATATAAAGAAACATTCTAAACAAAAATATGGCTTAGCTCGCTGCCAGCTGAACGGAAAGGACAGCAAATTTGGCACCACGTTCAGTGTGTTAAATATTTTTAGTGCCCTATATAATAATTAAGAGAATCAACCTTACCTGTAACTGTCTATCTTGAATTTTTTGGGAACTAGCACCTATACTTTTTATTTTAAGATACAGTCTTGTTGTTTTTTTTTTTTTTTTTTTTTTTTTTTTTTTTGGCAATAGAACAAAAAAATTCAGGTAATGCTTTTATACTAAACATCCAAAATGCAACATCAAAAAGTACAAAAGATATTAAAGCTATAATTACTGGACAAATAATGTAAGATAAAAGTTGAATTGATTAAAATTACAACCCTATCTGATTTGTGAAAGATGAAGAAATAAGTATTTTGGGTAGCACCATTGTTAATAATTGTTGTAGCACATTTTGTCACAGAATGAAAACAGTTTTGGATATATATTTAGGATATGGCAATCTTTGCAGTTTCCTCACACAGGCAAAGTTCATGCTGTATAATTTGATTTCCAGCCATCAACAAACAGGATTCATATACATTTCTGCATGAATGAAATAATAATAATTTTAAGGACTTTCCTTATCTCTTTGTTTCTAAATTCATTATGTAGACAATATTTTTGTGCTTTCTGAAGATAATAAAAATTATTTATCCCAAATTTTATCTATTATAAATTTGACTGATCCTGCAATCCAGTTCACTTTTGAAACTGAATCCGACAATATATTCCCTTCACTGATATTCTTAAAATTTGTAATGAATCCAATTTCAGCACTACTGTTTACCATAAACCATTTTTTTTCCCCCCAATCCCATAATAAGTCATGCCATCTGACTAAGCTTTTTTTTTATTTTATTATTATGTATTTCATGCTTTCACAGTTTGTTCCTTAAAACATCTCCTTCCTAATGAACTAAACTATTGAGTTCGATTGCCATTTTCTCAAGTGGTAATTGATAAAGGCTTTACAAATTTTTCAGCTTGCCATTAAATGACATTCTGCTATTAGCAATAACATTAAAAACCTTGTCATGCTTCCATTTTATCCTACTGTCAGTTATAAAATTGCATAGATTCTCCAGAGTTAAATTTTAAAGCCATCTTCTCACCTATCAGTCAGATCCCCGTTTTGATTCTTAAAGATTCCATTTCTGATTATAATCATAGTTGGAAATTTAATCATAATTTTGACTTTGGATCTGCAAAAATTAATTAAAAACTTTTTCCATTACTGAAACTGAATTTTCTTGATGCTTTTGACATTCATAAAGTTTAATCTTTCTTAGTTAACAACTTTAAGTTCAATCCAGTCCTATCTAATGCTTTTAAAATTCTAATTACTTAATTTTTCAAGTTTTGTTACTATTTTTGCTGACAGACGGCACTACTTTCTCGTTTACTTTATTTATAAATATGACTCTTGCACCAGCTCTTTCCAGTCTTTTTTTTTGCTTGTGATGAAGAGGAAGCTGTACCTAATTGCTCTTTCAATCGACTGAATTCTTGTCTAAACCTATGCCAAATGTAAGGTTGCTGTTTGCTAATTTTATGCTTATACTTTTAAGGACTTTTAAGGCACATCAATGAAAAAAAAAAAAAAAAATTAAAGGCTTATCAAGCAAATAGGAACTGAATAAAGTAAAGCAATTATCTACATCCAAACTTCACTTTTGTAATACCACTTTTCTAATTTCACTTCTGTAATTTGTAATTATAAAATTAATCTGTAAGTAGGGTGCATTATTATTAAATAATCTAATATCTATCTTAATTATAAAATAAATCCAAAAATAAAATCGACTTCATTAATTTTTTTAAGTAATTACCGTTAAATTATAATTTTTTTAAACATTTATATTTTACACTTATAGTCCCACATATTTTAAAGGAGATTAGTAGCTTTTTATTTAAATTTTATGAACAGATAGCTTTATACTGATTTTTTTTATGCCTTATTTTTGTCATGTATTCATTTAGACCAGCATTTATGCAAATTTTATATCAAGAGGCATAGTGAAGTAAAATAATAATCAGCCATGACCTATAACAGAAACTTGGCTGTTGTCCCCCCCCCCTGTAGCAGACTGCTTAGAGACAGAGAACCACTGATCAGAACAAACATGACTATTATCTATTTATTTCTGGAGACACACTAAAGCTTCCCATGCAGTTAATTAGTAGGAAAAAAACACAGAATTTCAGTGCTTAAAACCTATCTACTCTCCTCCCATTTTATTGTGTTTCTATGTGCTGCTACTGTCACATTTGCGTATATATGCTACAATGTTAATCATTTACATAGACTATTGAAGTCCTACATGGTGTTATATTTTAGATAAGCAGTTGTGTGTAATATTTAAGATGAATGGCTAAGTAAAAATGAGTGAAATTTCTTACAATAAATTACACATAGTTTGAAGTAACAATTACATATATTAAAGTTGTATTATGCTGCTTATAATGCAGTTGTTTAGAAATTCTGGTTAAAATTGTCTTATTTTAATAATTATTACCCATATTAATAATCTTTTCTTAAATAAAGGAGGAAAATAACAAAAGAACTTACTTTTCCACATGTTTGCAACTGGCTTTCTAATGTTTCTATTCTACTCAAAAGCCTGTCTTCTTCAATAAGAGCCTTAAAAAAGAGGGGAAAGAGAAGGGGGAATAAATTCACTAAAACTATGCTGCAAATTGTATCCTTTATTACCGACACCTCTTTTAGAGTATATCAGGTGTTCTACATTTAGACACAAGTAATCATGCTATTTACTAGAATTTTGCTAACTACTAAAAAAAGGGGGAGGGAGAAAGTTTTCAGATTTCATATTATGGTCACAAGGGCTTTTTTTTTAAAAAAAAATAACGTTTGGTGTGTTACCTTTATTTATTAAATACCATGTTGTTCGCACTTAAACCATAAAATTCAATTCAACAGCAATATCACAAAATAATTTAAAAATGAGCATATCTTTAGAATTTCCGATACACAGTCTTGCACGCTGGAGATAATTTTTTTTTTCCACTTGTACATCCATCCGTACAATGTTGCCATTGTTTGTTATGAAATCACCGAGTTTGTTAATCAAAAGTTCATTAAAGTGTTACAAAATATGAAATCGATAATGAAACAAATTCCAAAGTAGAGCTTGCAGATAGCATATTCGGTGAAGAATTACCTTATTCAAAATTTGATGGTTCTAGGTAATGTGGTTTTATCACAATGCAAGAAACATAGATAAGTTTATGCAGATTCTTCATTATTTATTTTCTTTAAATATAACACAGGGCTCTAACATACACAGCTGCATCAATAATACAATAAGGTCATTTTTCAATTCATTGGGAGAGGGGTTGCAGATATCAAAAAGCCAGATGCTTGCATAGCCTCACAAGAAGATGCAGTACACATCAGCTGATCACTGCAATTAAGCAATGGATTATCCATCCCAACCAATCCAGTGTGCCAATGACGATGCATAAATGCTCTTGCACAAAAATACAAAGCCCTATTGTGTTGTAACTATAGGTTTTGGCATGGCATGGCAAATGATTTGTGCAGCATTTCTGGAAAGATTGCCAGAGATCTTTTATAAACTTGTCCGTCAAGTCAGAAAAGAATAATGTACAGTAAAATGAAACAATTTAAGACTATGCTCATCCAAACATTAATAGTGCAACCATTACTGAGCAACATGAGGTTTGCGATTTGTCATGCATCCACATGTTTGCTCTGTGAACATTAAAAACACTCATGTCAGAAGTAGCTTCACAGAAAGAATCCACACAAGGCAGACTGGATTTTAGCACAGTATTACAAAAATCAAAATGATGAGTCACCATTTTGGCTAATCTCCTGCTTCCTGTAGTTGTATCCATTATACGTGAAAAAGAAATAAGCACTTCCAATGTAATATTTGCCCAAGACCGGATTGAGAAATTCCGCTTTCGTGAAAAATAGAATGGGGGTGGAATTTAAAGGAATAACTGTGAAACCTCCAGTAACTTGCACAATTTTGCAGCTAAGAACATGAAACTTTTAGCAAGGTTTGTATACATTTATTTAAATGAAAGTTAAGGACTTTTAAGGATATTAAGGCACATAAATGAAAAAAATTTAAAGGCCCTATCAGAAAACAGAATTGAATAAATTAAAGCAGTTATCTGTGCAACCTTCTTTCTTGTAGTATTATTTTAAAAATAATGAAAAAATATGTAATGTGCATAATTATTATTCCATACAATCCAATATTATTTAACAAAAAACAAGTTTGAGTATAAAATATAATTCCTAAAAGTTTTCAAGTAAACATTATTGCAAACATAATTTTTTGACACACTTATAACACACTGGGAAATATTAATGAAACAACTATAAAAAAGTGCCAATGTTAATTCTATTAAATGAATTCCCATGAAATAGAGTTGTTTGGCAATTTCAGATTAGTTTTGGGATTAACCTTCGATATACTGATATATGCAAAATTTTTGTGTCCATTCTTTCAGCACGTGTTAAAAAAAGTACCAGGGGATGGTTCAAATTCTAATTATGAATAGTTGGATAAAATTTTCATAAGTGAAAGGTAGAATATGTTATCAAAAAGGCATCTGATGTATTATGAGGAACAGCATGAAAATGGGATTTTGGAAGTATGACAGACATTGATATAGGTCTATATAGCACACAGAATCATATCAAGAATCTAAAAATTATTTAGAACTGTTATCTAGCAACGATTTCTAAAAGAAATTCAGAAACGACATTAGACTGGATTGCAACGGAGTTTGCTATAGCTACAAAAGCTGAAGTATCCAGGTAATTACCAGGACAGTTTGCATATGAGAGGACTGTACACAAGGAAATTCATGATTTATACCCCACTAACTTGGGCTATGAAATGTACTGGGTTGCATTGGTGAAGCGACCATTGTGATTGGAGTATCAGAGACTGGAGCCGAGTTTTGTTGACAGAGGATTATGATTTTTGTTTAGAGAGTAATTCTAGATGTGTTACAAATCTGGAGAGAGCAAAATATATTACCATAACCTGAAAGCAACAATGAAAACTATCAGTACAAAGATGGTAGTACCATGCTACGAGTAGGCATCATTCTGAATGGACACAGTGACCTACAAAATTTTATCAGTGCAACTATAAGTGCAGAAATATACAAAGATGAGGTCCCTGATCCTTATTTAGGGGTGCAATTGGTGATACCTTCCTCTTATTGAAAGATAATGCTCATGTCTACTATGCTGCAGGAACAATTAATTATCTTAAGAGCAAAGAATCCAACAGATAGAGTGACCTGCATACTCTCCAAATTAAAATTTGATAGAACACATATAGAATACACCAAGATGCTAATTTGCATCTATTTAGCCTCCACCTAGCATTCTCCTGGAGCTTTAAGACATTGTTCATAGCAAGTAAACTTTGTTATAGCAGGAACTCACAGGAAATCAATGCACAGAAATGAAAATCATTGCACTGTTTGCATTTCGGTCAAGAGTGATCATATACATCTTATTTATCGCTACAGCTACAAAAGCTGAAGTATCCAGGTAATTACCAGGACAGTTTGCATATGAGAGGACAGTATACAAGAAAATTCATGATTTATGTCCCACTAACTTGGGCTATGAAATGTACTGGGTTGCATTGGTGAAGTGACCATTGTGATTGGAGTATCAGAGACTGGAGCCGAGTTTTGTTGACAGAGGATTATGATTTTTGTTTAGAGAGTAATTCTAGATGTGTTACAAATCTGGAAAGAGCAAAATATATTACCATAACCTGAAAGCAACAATGAAAAGTATCAGTACAAAGATGGTAGTGCCATGGTACGAGTAGGCATCATTTTCAATGGACACAGTGACCTACAAAATTTTACCAGTGCAACTATAAGTGCAGAAATATACAAAGATGAGGTCCCTGATCCTTATTTAGGGGTGTAATTGGTGATACCTTCCTCCTATTGAAAGATAATGCTCATGTCCACTATGCTGCACTAGGACCAATTAATTACCTTGAGAGCAAAGGAATCCAACAGATAGAGTGCCCTGCATACTCTCCAAATTAAAATTTGATAGAACACATATAGAATACACCAAGATGCTAATTTGCATCTATTTAGCCTCCACCTAGCATTCTCCTGGAGCTTTAAGACATTGTTCATAGCAAGTAACTTTGTTATAGCAGGAACTCACAGGCAATCAATGCACAGAAATGAAAATCATTGCACTGTTTGCATTTCGGTCAAGAGTGATCATATACATCTTATTAATTCCTAAAAGTTTTCAAGTAAACATTATTGCAAACATAATTTTTTGAAACACTTATATTTTACACTTATAATACACTGAGAAATATTAATGAAACAACTATAAAAAAGAGCCAATGTTAATTCTATTAAATGAAGTCTAATGAAATAGAGTTGTTTGGCAATTTAAGATCAATTTTGGGATTAATCTTCGATGTACTGATATATGCAAAATTTTTATGTCCATTCTTTCAGCACCAGGGGATGGTTCAAATTCTGATTATGAATAGTTGGATAAAATTTTCGTATGTGAAAGGTAGAATATGTTATCAAAACGGCATCTGATGTATTATGAGGAACAGCATGAAAATGGGATTTTGGAAGTATGAGAGACACCGACATAGGTCTATATAGCGAACAGAATTATATGAAGAATCTAAAAATTATTTAGAACTGTTATCTAGCAACGATTTCTAACAGAAATTCAGAAATGACGTTAGGCTGGATTGCAAGGGAGTTCGCTACAGCTACAAAAGCTGAAGTATCCAGGTAATTACCAGGACAGTTTGCATTTGCATGTTAAGAACTCACAGGCAATCAATGCACAGAAATGAAAATCATTGCACTGTTTGCATTTCGGTCAAGAGTGATCACATACATCTTATTTATTGCTACAGCTACAAAACCTGAAGTATCCAGGTAATTACCAGGACAGTTTGCATATAAGCGGACAGTATACAAGGAAATTCATGATTTATGTCCCACTAGCTTGGGCTATGAAATGTACTGGGTTGCATTGGTGAAGTGACCATTGTGATTGGAGTATCAGAGACTGAAGCCGAGTTTTGTTGACAGAGGATTATGATTTTTGTTCAGAGAGTAATTCTAGATGTTTTACAAATCTGGAAAAAGCAAAATATATTACCATAACCTGAAAGCAACAATGAAAAGTATCAGTACAAAGATGGTAGTACCATGGTACGAGTAGGCATCATTCTGAATGGACACAGTGACCTACAAAATTTTACCAGTGCAACTATAAGTGCAGAAATATACAAAGATGAGGTCCCTGATCCTTATTTAGGGGTGTAATTGGTGATACCTTCCTCCTATTGAAAGAGAATGCTCATATCCACTATGCTGCACTAGGAACAATTAATTATCTTGAGAGCAAAGGAGTCCAACAGATAGAGTGACCTGCATACTCTCCAAATTAAAATTTGATAGAACACATATAGAATACACCAAGATGCTAATTTGCATCTATTTAGCCTCCACCTAGCATTCTCCTGGAGCTTTAAGACATTGTTTATAGCAAGTAAACTTTGTTATAGCAGGAACTCACAGGCAATCAATGCACAGAAATGAAAATCATAGCACTGTTTGCATTTCAGTCAAGAGTGATCATATACATCTTATTAATCCCCCCCCCTTGTTTAGCTATAAAAAGTTTTAACACCAACTTTTCATAACTCATAGCTTGTGTCCCACTAGTAAAGAGTGCTATAGCTCAAAACTGATTTTTTTCAGAAATAGGCTTTTCTACATTTTTAAGATAGAACAGGTACCACAAAATAAAGATCTTATGCAAATTCCACATTCTTAGTTGCAATATCATACATACACAAGATTACATAATTGTTCCTATATTTTTTTCGCCAGCATTGTCCCACATATTTTAAAGGAGATTTATATATTCACAATCAAAAAGTTCTTTTATTTTAAATATTCATTAAAAACATTACTGAAATCTCAATCAATGAACTTTTGCAGTTTAGAGTAATAGACGACTACATGCATAATTCATTATGTAGGTTTAAAAAATTAGTAGAACAGTTACACATTAAACGATGAAAAACATCTATAACACCGCAAAATACTTACACCATTATAATTTGAAATTTTTCTGGATAGATTTGCTAATTTATTTTCTTTCCTTTATTCACTTTTCAAGTTCATATACTCTAATAAATAAATCAATGTTCTTACTAGTTTCTGAATCAGCTTCTCAAATATCCACTAATCTGTTAATATCTTTATCAATATTCTTTACCTTTGTCAATATGCAAATTCTTTTTGCTCTATGTAATCAATCGTTTCTTCAATAATTTTTTTCTTCATATTTGAATTTTCAGATTTAAATAAAAATTCTGTTGTTCTAAAAACCATCATTTATCTAGAATGTGCAAAAGTTATTCAGTCTTACTTGAGTATTTAAGTGCTGAGAACAACTCTAGAAAACTTTAAGAGATGATGTATAAGATGCATCTTTTAAATTTTTGATAGCTTATTAAAACAGAAATTCCTTTCTACAGATGAGTACCACTATGATAAAAATAAAATCATTTTTACAATATCCTATTTTTTTAATGCATAAAAATAGCAAAAAATGAAAAAGATTATTTAAAAAAAAGATTATTTTTAATTCTGGTACACATTGCATATCAGTTACTTACATGGTGAAATGTACGAAAATTAACAATACTGGGTAAAAGTCAAATGAAAGAACAAGTTTGTAAGTTATAATATGGAAGGGATGGTTATTATAGAAAAAAGAATCCTTTAACCCATTAGCAGCTTGCATTGACGTTGGTGATGCATTGAAGCAAATGATAAAATAAATGTGTATAAAAGTATAACTGCAAAAGATATTTTATACTAGTAGATGATTTTATGAAGATTATTTCTATAAAAAATATTTGTCTTCAACAATAATTTTGTTCATAATAATTAAGTCTCGTACCTGAAGCAAAATTTAAACAAAATTTTTGACCAGGTACTTTTGCAGAAGAAATATAACAAAAGAATCACCTCACCATCTTTAGGAGTGTTCTATTTTTAGCCAAAGTCACTACTAATCAGAACATTCCATCAAACGGCTGTTTGTATTTGAGTGGGGATGGAAGGGAAAATAGGCGTTGTATTAGTGAAATGTCAGTGGGGGAAAGGTATTCCACTATTTTACTCCTGCCTTTAGATGAATTGGTCGAGATTCATCCATTCTTTAAAAATGCCTAGAACAAGCTACAAAAAGACCTAGAAAATTCAGCATTCAAAAACCACTGCCTGGAGGTGGTAGACATTTCATCATAAATCTGAGGATAACAGAAGATTTCATTGTAAAGAGTGCTATAGCCAGACTGTTTACAGATGCAAAGTATGTAATGTAACTTTAAATCATGATTGTAGTGAAGCTTTCCTTGCTTGAATCTTTCAATTGAAAATAATCTGTATTTATAAAAGAAACACAATGTAAATTACTAATTACAAGTAAAATTATTTGTAGATTTATAAAATGTCATAGTATAGTACTAAAAAGTAATCCAATGCTCCACTCAAAGAAAACTTCACAAGAGTACAAGCCTACTTACTAAACGCCACATTCTTATTCCGCTGACGCTGTGCAAAAGCAAAACTCAATTTTTCCACAGGTAAGAGCACTTTTTTAAAAAATTTTCAGTATAAATTTATGTCATAAATACTTAATTTAATACTTATCATTATTTACATAAGGAAAAAAATTCTGTCTTGTAGTTTTGGCAGTTAACAGGTTATAAAATGAAAATGGAACTAACAAAGAGCAAAAATTTAACTGAAGTTTATCAGCAAAAATTTAACTGAAGTTTATACATACTTTCCAACCTATGACACTCAAAAATCAGGAGATTTTTCACAATGTTAAAAAGACTTAAACTATATTTTTTAAATGATAAAAATATAGTTTTTAATAATGAATTAACTGTCAAAATGGCCAACATAATTCTAGACAGTTCACTATATTTTAAAATTCCATCAGCACCTTTCAGTTTTCCAATTAAACTCCATGGGTGTCAATCCTAGCTGATTTTATAACTTCATCCAAGTTTTATAATTGTAACTGCAAAATTGCAACTGCAGTATATCAGTAGCAACAATCAATATCATCATCTTTCATGACTAAACAAGTAACACAGGAAATCTGTTTCAAAAAGTACCTTGTATCAGAAAAAAATGCATTTGCTAGACCAGAAACATCACAAACTTTAGCATGCAAATCACTTCATCGTTGACTGAAATTTATGTAGTATGTAATCACATACTCGACAGAAGTAACTCTAACATGAAGAAAAACATACTTTTGTCTTCTTCTGAAAGTTCTTCCCAACTTTTGTAGTTGCAGCTCCTATACCAAATCTTCATCTTTCTTCTGATTTTCTATTTCACATTCACCTAAATCACATTATATATAGAATTACAAGACAAACACAGACTGGTTTTACAAACTTTGATAAAATGTCTTTAAACAGATCATAAATCATTGATTGCAAAACATGAATTAATGGAATTCTGCTTTGTAGAACTGTGTTAAGAACATCGAATGATGGCAATATGAATTGTAAAAAAAAGCAAAAAGCTTTGTTAAGGTCCGAAGAAAAAAACATAAATATTCGTTCTTCACAAGATAAACTTAAAGTAATCGGAAAATGTTTTGTGTGTTGAGCAATTTTTTTATTTTGAGAGAAATTTGTATCAGTTTTACGCTTATATTTTGCATGACAACTGCCAGTTGAATTGCTGAATGATGCAGAAATTACTTTATTTTCTCAAAACCTATTTTTAACATGGAAGTAGTAACTACATCTCCATTTACTTTAGGTACTTTATAACTTTCAATAGAGCCTTTTTATCTTAACGCTCGAAGCATTTACTTCTTCTTTAAAAAATGCAAGAAGTGGGTTCCATTGATCGAGGATTCTAGATAAACATTTCTTTAAAGACAGCCAGCGTGTACACACATTTCAAAATTTTTCTTATTTCAGTATTACGCAGCTGTTGGAACTGTTTCAATTTTTCCTTTCTTTTAGAAATCCTTTCAAGATAATAATAAATATCAACAATGTGTTCATCCACATTTATTGGTAAATAAGCTGCCCTTTTTTCAGCTGCTAAATTTAAGAGGTGACAGGTGCACCTCATAATCTGCAAATCTGAATTTTCCCTTCTTAAGATGCCTGCAACACCAGTCTTCAAGCGTACCCAATACTGGTCTGGCATTATCGGCACCAAGTGCTAAGCAATATCCAGAGGCCTGCATTTTCTTTAAAGTTTAATAATTAGCTGTGGTATATTAAAGCCTGTCAAATGTCCTTCTAAAATGGAGACAGAAAGTAAACTGCACTCAATTTCTTAAGAATCTGTATTAAAAAAAGAAACAACAATTGGATACAGTTTTGAATCGGTATTATTGCTTCTATCCGTAGAGAGGCAGAACAGAGTTGTTTTGTGCAATCAATAACTGAAGATTTATTTTTCAAACCCATTTCTTTAACAATTGCACCTGTTTTGGTTCTTGCACTTGAGTATTTCTTAGCAATTTCACTATCGGGAAACATTTTTCTAAATAAAGCTGCAGCGTGATCCGATGCATTCAGTGACAGGTTGTGCTCCAGTATATGGGCAGAGAACAGATATTTTGCATTAATCACTTTTTGGTCTTTTGTTTCTGAAGAAAAATTTAATTTTTCGTTTTTTTCAAAACAACTCATGTTGTCTTTGTGTTTTTGTGTACGCACATGTTTGAGAACATCTGCCCTTCCACCATGCAAAATCGAAAAATCGCAATGACAGATTGTACACATCGCAAATTTATTACATTTCCTTGAGGAAATAATGGAAGGAAAGTCAACTGTGTACGATTTTTGAAACGTGCACGAGTATTTCACCTTTCTTGCAGACATAACAAAAGATGATAATTTCTAAAACTATTTCCCAAACGCACGTGTACTCACACAACTCAGGACAAGATGAACGAAATAACGAAAGAACATCCAAATAACGGCCTTGAGCTTGCTTTGTGCTCATTGGCTAATATATGTCAGATGACATGCAGTGGAGCTTGATGCCCATTGGAGAACTGGAGAATGACATTTCTGGATACGTTTGCTGTCACTCACAAAGCAGAAATTCTCATCTGATTAACAAGGTTTTATTTTAGATATAATCTAGAGAAAATTCAGTTGCTTTCCAGACGTCCAAAGTCACTTTTTTTTTTTTTTTTTTTGGTTCATATAACGAAGTATTAAGCCAAGTTCCATAAAAATTGTGAGAAATATTAAGAATAAGAAAAAGTCTGGAGAAATATATTGTAAATCGGATTGGCGGGAGAGCGGTCGAAAATCGGGAGTCTCCCGCCTAAATCGGAAGAGTTGGCAACTCTGTTTATATCATTATAACCAAATATATAACTATATTTCAGATAAAAAGCTGATAAATAAAAAAACATTAAAATACCTTCCATCCTATATCAGATTCATCTTGTGTATTTGCAACTACTTTCTGAAGTGTTCCCAATTTATTTTCAAGTATTTGTTCCCTATGAAGAGCTTCCTAAAAAAGCAGTATTTTAAACACATTAAAATCATTCTCAAAATATGTTTCTCATATTCTTGTCAGAAACAGATAAGGAGAAATGAATTACATATTTCCTGTGATTAACATATTGATTATAAGGATAAAAAAATTAGTTTGCTTTCAAAACTTAAATAAGTATCTATATTTTTGTAAACTATTAACTAGCAATAGTTCAATTAAGATTAAAGGCCACCACAAGGAGAAAGGGGCCCAAAATGTATCACAGCAATCATTTTTTTAATACTGCTACAAATTTGTTACATATAGAAATAATTTTTTTGAAAATGTATATAAATGGTAGCATTTCTTGCAAAGTAATATGAAAGACATCAGAATGCAAACCATAGCTGGAAAAACAGACTTAAGGGGGTAAGTTCATTTAACAATGCGATGATTTTGGTAATTCATTTTTATTGCCAAATTTGACGAGAAACCTCCAAAATCATTGACATTTTGCTCCATTTTCTATGTTACTGTAACTGGTATGGTCTCTGTGCATGCCTTCTAGCAATTTTGAGAAATAAAAGGCACTAGAAATTTTTCGACAGAAAAGAGTGAAGAGCATACCAGTTTTGAGTTTAGCTCAGAGTTCTGAGAGATCCCTGTATGAGCTTATGCTTGAGGTGGCAACTACTGACTGTGTTATGTCACACTGAGAACAGATGTAAAAGCACTTTTGCATGAAAAGTTCCAGAACTGTTAAGGGTTTTTAGGAAACAATAAATTTCATCAAGCTTTCATTGCTTCTGTTTGCATTCAATCCATTATGTGTAACAATGCTTGGTGTCAGGAGTGGGGCTGAATGCTGGTGACAAGAGTGACAGAAAGGCAACTAAGGCAGCTTGCAACAGTCTTTGCTGCATTCCAATAAATAATGGAATAGACTTCACGGTGAAAATGGCAGAAGATGGAAAGAGCTGTCAAGTCAGTTCAAGAACAGATGAAGCAGGCCAAGAATTGATGAAAGGGGACATTGAAGCAGATCAAGAGGAAATGAGAACAGAAATTATTGCCATAATAAAAAAACAAATTCAAGGTCATGGAAAGTAGAACTGACATAGTTGAGAATAAAGTTCTGTTCTAAAGCTATCTATGCATGATGGAGGGACCTCCTGGAAAGTGTACAAGACTCAGTTCTCTAAGAGCAGACACAGTGGATAGCCATCAAACTCTGCTCGAAAACAAGAGTCTAGACTACCCCCAAACCAGAGGTCAGCTTTGTATGGCACTTTGGAGCTGTGCTTTGATACAAAATATTTAAAAGTGTTGGTATGCATATAGTGATGGACTGTCGTCAATAGCGCGATAAACTGTATGAACTGGAAACCCTGCAAAAGAGTTAACTGTGTAAATCGCTTATTCTTTACACCTTACTTTTCTCACTTCTTCAGGAAAGGACAGTGATATGACACTCTAAAATATAACTCCTTTTTTTCAATGTATATATTTGGAATACTAAGGCATTTTTATCTATTTTCATGTATTAATAAAGAATGTGTTTTGTGATCTTAGAATTTCCGTCTACAGCTATTTTGGATTACAAGTTAATTAGGTATGATCTCGCTTGATGCTGCACTGGATACAAGGTAAGAAGAATCATTTTGCTCTCTATTTTTATTAATTTGTTGTGAAATTTCGAGGCTATAAAATGTTTTACAACAAAAAGGCCATAGCAGGTTTCAGTTAAAATCTTACCACCAGAGGCTTATGGAAACATTCTAGGAACTTTCCACAGATGTTGAAAGGCTGTCTCATCGTGCCTTTTTGGAATGCCCAACAGAAACAAGGGAAATCCTGTCACTGCAGTACTTTGTTGAGCACATTCGGGATTCCAAGATGCAGAAAGTCCTGTGAATGGCAGATGTCAAGGATGTAAAAAGCCCTTAAGCATATGCTACGAAGTTCGAGGCAGCATAGTAAACAACTCATACAGACAACCACACAGTCAGAGCTGCTTATGTCCAGCAGTCACAGATAAGTGACTGCTCGTTTAGATGTTTTACCAATGCATTCAGGCAGAATATGAGCGACAACAAATTGATCCTAAATTGCTAGAACTACAGCGGTGAAGGCCATGTATGAAGGAATTGCAGAACACTTCAAGACATGTAAGTTAAGACCACTCACAACAGGACCTTCTAAACACTGGTGTCCAAGGTTTGAATGCTGGCAAACGGGCTGACTGCCTATCATGGCATTTTCATGGTTTTCCCCGTGTGTAACTTGTATATGAGCTAGTTTCTCTTAGAAAGTCCTTCACGAAGGCATCTTCCTTTCCTCAGATAACCAAGTGCTTTGGCATAATCAAATAAAACATTACCTCCCAGCGAGAAAGAGGGAAACTAATTAGTGGCATCTCAAGAGGCGTATGTTGCCAGATTATTGAGAAGACCTATTTTAAAGCACTTCAGATTTCTACAATGAGTGGCAGTAATAATGAACTTTTCATGATGGGGTATATAAAAGGAGTTCCTTGCAGTATGACCATCGATACAGGAGCCACTGTTATCATTATCTGAAAAGATACGGCTCAATGAGCGGAAGGTGAACTCATCTGGGCGGCACCCTCTAGACTATGTCTAGTGATAAAATCGACATCGATGGAAAGTTAAATGCTAACATTGCATTTGACATGCTGACTACCATCACACAGCATATTTAGCAGATATTAAAGACCCTTGTATAGTTGGAATTAGACTCCCTAAGGAAATAAAATTTTTTCTCCGATTTCAAAAATAATAAATTGCATTCTGCCTTAATGCACAAAACTCTACTCAGAATGAAATCCATTTACAAAACAGCTCAGAACAATATCACAGTATCAGCAAGACCAGAATTTTTACTACCTGGATCCACATCTAAAAACAGGAGTTTCCAGTATGACATAACGGAATATCCTAAGATCAGCCCGAAAGAAATATTAGAAGCTTCAGCACTTGCTGGCTTATCCTGGTGAGAGTTGCCAATATAAGTGATGTTGCAAAAGTGATTAGGAAATGTGAATTGCTTGCAGCATATATTTTGGTGACCTGCATGAAACAGACCAACAGTACTCCAGTCAATGTGTTTTTGGACAGCATAACATTGGAGTTATTGTAGAATGCACAACTAAGCAGTGAAGAGAGGAGTGCTGAAGAATGTGCCATTCAAAAATTTCAAGATAATTTCTTTTGCACTATTCTGATGTAGATTGAAATGATTTGGCACAACATAAAATTGATATGGAAGATCATCCACCAATCAAGCAACATCTGAGACATCTACTCATTGCTAAACAGGAAGACGGAGGAAAACATCTAAAGGACAAGCAAGAAAGTGATGTTATAGACCCTTCAGCAAGTCCTTGCACCTCTCCTGCTATCCTGGTAAAAAAGAATGATGGCTCAACTAGATTCTGCATTGATTATCGCCAGTTGAACGATATCAGGAAGAAAGATGGCTAATCTCTTCTAAGGCGAGGACATTCTTCCTGAAAGCAAGTGATTTTCGACGCTTGATTTGAAGTGTAGATACTGGTAGGTAATTAGTCTGAGATTACTTGTGCAGCATCTATTCAAGAATGTACAACATGTCTCACAATTATACCCCGTTTCAGGGAGGAGCAGTTGAGCTCGGAAAGCTCAATCCAACACGCATGCACGAAGAGCAGAGACGAAGGGCTGGATGCAACACCAGTCTACTCGGAAGGCCAAAGCCACCTACCTTCCAGGATAGTATTGATTACCCTTCAGGCATCAGGAACCCGGTCAGCAATTTTATGCCCATGTAGCCGAGACTGACTAGGTACAGATCCTAACCAGTAGCTTCACAGGTTTTCCTGCATCCTACCCAAGGGAGGATATTGATGGGTAGAGATAGATCCTGATGATCAGGAAGAGATAGCATTTACTACCATACAAGGACTTAGTTAAGGATAATTTGTCTGAATTACGCAGAACACTGGCAACAGTCGAGCACCTCATGGGGACTGTGCTGAGAGGCCTTTCCTTGAAGCCTGCCTGATATTCTGGATGATATCATCATGAGGAAAAGTTTACAAGAGCATTCAGAAAATATTAGGAAAGTACTTCAGTAAAAGAAGCCAATTGAACGATTTGAATCTAAAGTTAAGTCCAGCCAAATGTAAACTATTCTGACTAGAAGTAACTTACCTCAGATATGGCATCTCTGCTGAAAGAGAGTGTACGGATCCAGAAAAAAATGTCAGCAATTAAAGATTGGAGAAGCTCCGAAAATCTCTATCAGCTGAGAAGTTTCCTGGGACTTTTCACATAGTATACAGGATTTGTGAAGGACTTTTCTTCCATCACAAGACACTTGCACAAACTGACAAAAAGAAAACAAAAGTTCTGGCCAAAAGAGTGTGAAGTTACATTTAACAAACTGAAGGAAGCTTTAATATCTGCTACAATCCTGAGTATCCTCGGCTCGACAAATAATTTATTCTTGACATAGATGCGAGCAATGAAAGTGCTGGTGCTGTTTTGTGCCAAAAAATAAATAGTCAAGAATGAGTCATGGCCTACTGGAGCAAGTGTCTATGTAAACTAGAGAGGAATTATTATGCCACCAGGAAAGAGTTACTCGCAAACAGTTAAAGCCACAGAATAAATATTTCCGTAATTATCTCTACAGAAGAAAATTCCAGCTCCACACAGACCAAGCATTGTTGACCTGGCTATTGAATTTTAAGAATCCTGAAGGTCAAACAGCTAAGTAGATACAGAGATTCCAGGAATATGATATAACTATCTGTTTACATAGGGACCATCACATGGAAATGCTGATGTCCTGTCTAGAAAGCTGCTGATATTGCTCCAGGGTCGAAGTGAAATATGAGCAGCTGAATTCGGTCACATGACAAGTTACAACTTCAGCATCGGCTGATTGAGACCCACGGAGTGATGAAGAAATCAGGAAAGACCTATCGGAAGACGGCAACATTAAATCTATAATTGATTTAATGGAATCTTCAAACAAGAAACCTACTTGGCAGGACATTTTCTTCTATAGTCCTACAACAAAACAATGCTGGGCTCTCTAGGACTCACTTCATATTCAAAACAGCGCCTTGTATCCTAAGTTCGAATCGAATAATGGAAAGGCATTCCGATGGCAGCTGATACTTCCATGATCCTAGATGTTCTTAAAAAATTACATAGCAGTCCAATAGGAGGCCATTTTGGAAAAATGAAGATGTTACATAGAGTTCGAGATCGCTTCTACTAGAGCAATGCAAGGGATGACATGCAAAATGTAGTGCCAATCTTACGAGGCACGTCCAGAAAGTAAGATCCGTTTCAATTTATCTCCGCTGCAGCTCTGCGATCGCAGTTCCACACATGCGCAGTAGACGCTCTGTATCAAGGAGAAGAAACGCGCGCCATTTGGAGATCGCTGTCAGTCCGTACGCTTTGTGTCCTTGTTTACATGTCGGTGTTGATTGAATCCCGCCGCTGTGAAATCAGATCTGTGATAGTTTTCTAACAGGAAAGTGAAACTAGTGAATTTATTGGCAAATTTGCGATGTTTACGGACCAAAGTGATAGTGATTCAAAGGTGAGAAGATGGGTCCGAAAGTTCAATACGGACATAGTGAGTGCCGATGAAGAAGAGTGGGTGTCCATTTGGTACAGAAAACTGTTCACCGATTGATGACAAGACCCATGAAACGAAGGTTCCAATTAGTGCTCTCGCTATGGAATCCCAAATTTCACGATCACTATGCATGAAATTGTACCAAAAAATGAAATTTCGTAAACTTTGCTCATGTGGGTACAAAGATTCTGAGCAAACAAACCAAAAGGATGGGTCGTGCATTCAGTTTTTGACCCGTTATGCTGAAAGCGGCGAAGAATTTCTGACACGATAGTCACAGTAGATGAAACTGGGTTTCTTACACCCCTGAAAGTAGCAGCAATCAATGAAATGGAGCACACTTCATCCCCACAAAGGTTAATCCGACGCAAATCTTGACACCTCGAAAAATAATGTGCACAATGTTCTGGGACTGGAATCTTACTCATTGATCCTTACCACTGGTCAAACAATCAGAGCAGATGCTTATTCGAGACACTTCGGAAATTGCGCAGCACATACAGAATAGCGCCGAGGATTGCTGTCAAAGGTGTTTTTCTTCACGACAAACGCCGACCACACACTGCAAATGTGACGAAAAACCCCTACGGATTTGGCTGGACGTGTTTGACCAACCTCGTACAGCCCTGACTCGCTCCTAGCGACTTTCATCTGTTCTTACATCTTAAGTCTTTCCTTGCGGTCAACACTTGACAATGACGATAGTGAAGAAACTGTTCCAAATGGTTGAAACACAGGCGCAAATTTCTATGAAAAGGTATACAAAAACTTGTGCCACGCTATAAATGCCTGCACCATTTCGGCAGTTATGTGGAAAGTAGTTAGAGTTGTGAATTTTGTGCAATAAATAACTTTTCTGTAGCTGTACACAATTTACTTTTATTACCAAATGGAACTTACTTTCTGGACGTACATTGTATAATGCCTGTGCGGGTTGGAAAAGACCGATGAAACACAGATGGGAAAGCTGCAGTGTTACAATATAGGAGCACCTTTTGAACACATTGCCTTTGATTGTGGCAGAGGAACTGGCATAATCTGACGATGATCATTTAGCAAATTTGACCTTATCTAACTGTAACTGTGCATTCCATCTAGCAATTTTGAGAAACCGAAGGTGTTAGAAATTTCTGAGGAGATGGGGCAGAATTACATAGGACCAGTGAAAGCATCAGTTTTCAGTTTAGCTCTGTGATACTGAGAACAATTGTACAAGTACTTTAGTGTGAAAAGTTCCAAAACTTGTTTCTGGAAAAAATTAATTTCATTGGTTCTGTGTGCTTTCAATCTATTATGCACTCGTATGTAGGCAACAATATCATAACTGCATTTACTATATAATAAATTTATTTTCATTACTACTTAGTTTTAAACTAATTTTTCAAAACCATTAAAAATTTAGCCAAAAAAAGCTTAATATTTCTTATAGCTTTCATTACTCAACATTTGCTTGCTTTCAGATCTCCACATTTTCATCCAAAAATACACAGTTTATCAAAAACACCGATTTTTATTAATTATTTTTAAAGAAAAAGAACTGTCTGAATAATAACAACTGAAGTTTCATTGCAGATAAAGTATGTTTTTTGAAGAAGACTTCAGGAATTTAACTATTATGAACTAATTTTGTAACAAAAAATAATATACTCTTTTAAAATATATATATATATATATTTTACTTACCTGCAGGTACTGAGAAAGCTGATATAATTCTTGTGAAGAAACAGAAGTTTCAGGTGATAATGGCACAACTGCATAGTCGGATTCAGGGATGAGGAAAAACAGGGACAAGGAAAGGTAAGTTTTATATAGATACAAAATATAGTAAAAACAAGTTTTTAAAACAAAATATAAACTGCCCATAATTTTCGCAATTAGCTGCTGAAAAATACAGTAGACATAAAGTAAAAATTAGACTAATTTCACAAATACCAAAAATTGAAATTCATAATTAATAAATTTCATATAATCCTATAAATGCAATAATGGATTTAAAAAATGTTAAAACCAAAACTTCAAACAAGCAAAACTCCAATTAAAGAAAATTATGAAACTTAAAACAAACATAATAGAAGAGGAATTCAATCAACTTTCAATGCCACTTCATCAGGGGGAGGAACAATGAAATCAATTGAAATCTCTCCACAAATATTCTTGCTTTCCTGTATCCAGAGGTTGCCGATGAACCATTTCAATGTTTTTTAATTATAATAGTTCACCCAAAAATTCTGACCCCTTCCCAAAGCAAGGAAGAAAAAGTAAATTCTAATAAGAATCTTGTACCTTAAATGAAGAGAATTCTATTTAAAGAATTCAAACCGAAAGTGAAATAATAAAATATGTCAGTGAAAAATTCAAATCAAAATTTTACCTTTAAACAGTAGCATATAATCCAAAGAGTTTGCCTGTAGATACTAAGCAAGGTAGAAATAAAATACACAGAAAGCAAAAACTTAAATCATTCAGAAAATGGGAGCTACAATGAAAGTTCTTATGTACACTGAAGAGAGAAAACATTATAACCTCCTACTCAGTAATGCCTTATGTGACCTTCGACCTGCAAAACAATTGCAACTCGCCTTGGCATAGATGCCACAAGTTCTTGGAAGATGACTGGAGACAGATTGTACCAAATATCTAATTAAATGGAATTCAGCCTTATGCTCCTTGAAACAATCCAACACAATTTGAGTTTTGTGACATGGGGCATTATCCTGCTGCAAGATTCCACTGCCAGTAAGGAAGATAAATGACAGGTAAAGGTAACCAACTGAACTGCAGCTATGTTTAGACAGACTGCAGCTTTCAGTGTCTGTTTTACCATAACAAAGGGTCTCAGAGCCACCCCATGAGATTGCCCCCAAAGCATAATACTGCCACCACCAGCCTGTGTATGACCTGATGTACGGAGGGAATGACCCTGTTTGCCTAAAGACGGCATACCCTGACATAGCCATTGACGTGATGAATGAGAAATCATGATTCATTTTATCAGGCAACTGTCTTCAAATCATCCATGGTCCAATCTTGATGTTCCCAGGCTCACTGTAGGCATAGTTGACTATGATGCTTGGTAAGCAGACACATACGAGAGGTATGTCTACTGCACAGTCCCATATCCAACATTGTTCGCTGAACTGTGTGGCACTGATAAAGGCTGTTCCTGCACCATTTTAAAAGAATTAAAGAAAAGGAATAAAAAAAAATTAAAAGAAATCCACAGAAGACAAAAAATTTGAAAGCAAAATTGAGACTGGACCCAAGTTTTCTTCATTGATGAATCTTTATTCTGTTTGTATTATAATTCTACATCTATTCTAGTGTGTGGGGGGGGGATAAAACATGCAATAAACATGAAAACATGCATAAAAAGCATCAGTATGAAGGTGGTGGAATTATGGCATAGGTAGGCATCATGCTGAATGGTTGCACTGACATATACATTTGAAAGCTCGTTTTTTTTTAATGACCATTCTACCAGATTTCAATAAAACTAATATTCCTAAAGTTTAGAATTAAAATGGTTCTTAGGTTTAAAAAAATTAATTAGGGATGAAATGTTAATAAATTTGTTATAATTGTTTGTAATATTTTCCTATTTAGCAGAAAAGCTAAAGATAACAGAATGATAATGTAAAATTTATTTATATTTTTTATAAAATATATATTTATGACATAATAAAATCACAGGAAAAGACGGAGCACCATTGATGTGTAGTTATCCTATACTGAAAAGGAAGTATTCTGATTGCGTCGTAAGCTAATGTGTTGACTATTTCGTAATAAAACTTGCAGCCGAGCACTTTTAATAATTCCATTTGTATTTCCAAGACATATGCTGGCCACAGACACTTGGCGCCCTAGTCATGCCTGATTCAAGCCATTTCCAATATTGATATTACTGTACTAGGAAGCATCATAAGGGACTTGTATCCATTGACAGCACAGACAGAAGCTGAAGTGCGTATTATGCACGATGGAAGCCCGCAAAGAAAAGTTTTGGTTTGCAATGGTAGTTTCAGTTCCCGATTATTACAGTCCATACAGGCTGCCTAGGCCCATGGCAAAAAAGGAGGAAGAAAGATCAGAATGACGCAATGCAGAAAATTATTGCGATGTTTATAATAGAGAGGGTAGAACTTAATGTTTGATTAAAAAATTAAGCATATTTTAATATAATTTTGATCATATTTTTTTATCTTATCTATAATATATATATATATGCAAGATTAACAAAATCCCACACATTGTACACATTGTCAGCAAAACTTAATACATTTTATAACCAAGATTTCACATACCACTTTTATTTCAAATCTGATCAAACACATCCAAAGCTTAATCAGGATGCCAGGATCCTGTTGTAAGGTACATCTTCATGAATTCACACTTCTTTTTGAATAATGCACATTAAAAATGAGGTGTTTTACAGAGACTAGAACCATCTTGACATTTTAACGCACTTAATTTCTAAAATTCCTTAAGGTATTTAATGCAACTCCTGTTTGCAGAAGATCAAGAGGAAGACTTAAGAAAAGATGAAGGACTTTCTGGATGAGGATTTTGCCATTCTAAAAATTAAGAACTGGAAATCAATTGCTGGAAGGAGGGCAGAATGGGAAAGGCTACTGAAGATGGCCCACAAAGGACTGTCATGTCAATGCTGATGCTAATTCATGCTAATAATTCATGAATGCTGATGCTATTAATTCATGAATTTAATTCATTTCTGAAGCCGTTTATCAACCAAAAACTATTTCGCGTATAGGAATCAATGTAAAATGGGTTAATTTGGTCTTGGATCACAAATGATTACTTATTTAAACTTTACAGCAGTAATTTGCATATTGTTGGGAAAAGTTCATAAAAAGAAAACTAATGAAAATCAATAAAACCTATGACAAAAAAGATAATTTCAATATTAAACATAAAAGAAATGAAAACTTAAGTTTAGTATACCTATATGAAGGGGCATAAAAGCACCTTAAGTTTGAAGTGATGAGAAAGAGATATTACTGTTTGGACTGTTCCTGGAGCACCTTTCAGTTTTCCTTGAGCCTTAGCACCACTCTGCTTGAGAATCACTGGGCCACAGTTTCATTACAAATTTATTCCATGTGATTTATTATGTTCTAAGTTTTAAAAATGTTTCTAAGGGAAACATGGCACTGCCACTGTAAATGCATACACTGTAGCTTCCCACTATTTTAATCTGAATTCCACCATCAGAATGATATCATCTTGCTTTCTGTTGGAAAAATTTATTGGTTGAAGAATTAGATCATCCTTTCTTCCTCCCACTTCTTCTGAAGACATTTCTATCACTATCACCTTTCATTGTTACAGTTCCGTTTTGACTAGCTCACTTTTAAAATTCAGTAGTAATTTTTCCACATATTCATTATTAATTTAAAAGCTTAAGTATGCCACAATATTGTAGGTAACAAAAAATGATCTAAATGTCATAACCTTCAAAGTCTCTGCCTTCAACACAATCTGGCAATAATTCCAGGTCCTCTATGTCATCTGCTGCTAGATCTTATTAATAAGGGTTAAGCAATAGAAAATATTAAAACGACTTTTCAGGAAGTCTCTAAATGTTAATTCTGTACCTCAAATTCTCTCAAAACACCTTTGAAAATCATTCATTACCAAGATTGTTCATAACTCATAATGCTTGTCATCTAAGGCAGTACTGCAGTTACAGTAGCTTAAAATGTCAGCAGCACTTATATTTTCTCCTTCCAAGTACTTTCATTTCAGTCAGTATAAATACATAGCCATCTCACAGCTAACTAATTTTATTACGGGGCATGGCCCCTTTCCAATCTAATTTCATCGCTTTTGCATCTCAAATACAAGTACATGTGTTTGCAGATTAGAAGGCTCACTTGACTATTATGCCCTCTACTGTCCACTTACAGCTGCCACTTATTTACCTCAATCAACCTGCAGTATGAGCTCTCTTAAGAAATTTATTATAAAAAACCATGCATCAATTCATTAGCAATACAATCAACACTATTTTTCACTATGGGTTAAGACATTTGTCAAAAAGAATGAAGATGCCAATACAATTCAAAATGATAGTTACAAAAGGACAAATGCTAAAGAAAACAAACTGTTCATTTATGTACTCTTACCCTTGTCTGGCCGTGATAAAACAATTACAATAATTATTATTTTAGTAATAAACTCTGATAGGAAGGTGGAGATAATTCCTGCTAACCTTTGATAACCACTAGGAGTCTCCGCACTCCATCGCCAATCTTCCAAGTACAACATCAGGCCTGCAATAAAGTTTTCGAACACAGAGAACATAGTACTTATCAAATATTATCATAAGCTATGTCAAGTCTATGCACCTGATATCATGAGCATGAAGATAGTATGCTGTTGTGCAGCAATTTTACAAAAATAATCAAGTTGTACATAACGAGGAAAGCACTAACAGGCTGTTTATCAATAGTATATAATGGTCTCATGCAGCAGATTAGACAATGCATTTTGGAAAATTGTCACTACACAATTATGGAACTAAGCATCCACTTTAATGCACGAAATTATCACTAAGAGCCTCTTGTTTTGGAAATTGTCTTTCAGGTGGTACCAAACAATAAGATACCAAACACAACCAACGTATGGTATCATCATTGCCTTTCCTTCAGCCATACCATGATGACACAAGATTTTCTCAAGAAAATTTTCACAGACAAAATGAAATATGGGTTGTTCACTTTATCCCAGAAAACAAGCAGAAATCAATATACTGGCATCATGGTGGATTGTCGTGCAGGACAAAATTCAAGCACTCTGTCTGCATAACAACTGATATACATATTATTCTGGAAGAGGGCATTCTGCTCATTAATTTCCCAGAGTGAAATCGTAAATGCTGACCATTGCTGTTAAACACTATGGAAATTGTGATGGACCATTCAGAGAAAGATGTGTAAGAATTCTCAATATAGGTACTGATGTGATGGATAATAATGCTTACACACATAAAAACACAATCTACAATGGTCCAACTAACTAATGCAACTAAACAAAAAGAATGGAAGTGGTCACGTTAGAGCCTAATGTGCATTCACAGTTTATCTCTCAAACTCTGAGTTTACAAACTAACTTGGTCATAAATATATTCTTAGGGAACATAAATTATCAAGTGGTTAGAGACTGGCTTATCTTCATTTCCATACCCAATTTTTTTTCTTTTATTCTTGCTTCAGCATTTCCATCTTTCTCATTAATAATATGTTACTGCAGCTCTCCTGCTCTAAACAATCTTATCTATCACAAGTAAAGGATGCAAAATGTGAGAATGGTCAAATATTGATGCTACAAGTGTGTGGAAATTACTGGCACGCTATTAGGGCCAAGAAAATGTATGACGTATTTCTACTTTTCATTGAAACAGTACGTTATGCAACACAGTACAAGATTTACACTTCTTTATTTCTCATTTGCCTTTCATAGATTAAATTAAAATGTGGGAATCTTTTGTTAAATATGTTTGAGAAACAGTATATTCTAGCATACAAAAAATTTTACATAATGTATTCTTGAGTCGGTGCATAAGTTCATGCTGTTTTTACATGCTAAGATTTAATTAATGTAAGATACACTACAATACACAATAAAATGACACTGATATGCTATCTCATGTCATAAATCAATAGCAGAGACATAATCATCAGCTTTGTCAATGACTGCCTGCCAACGTTCAGGTAGGAAATCAGTGCCTCTACTGTAGAAATGTTGTGGTTTTGAGTTAAAGATATCTGTTGGCCAGTTGATAACACAAGCTTCATTATGAAGCTTTTGATCCTGAATGTGGTTAATGTGTGTGTGATTATGGCAAAGCCTCGAGGGCTATCTGCCTAAGAGGAGGGATGCCTTCATGGAGGACTTTCTAAGGGGAACTGGCTCGTATACATGTTACACATGGGAAAAACCATGAAAACGCCCATGCAGCCAGCCCATTTGCGGGATTCAAACCTCAGACCGACTACCGGTGTTCAGCGACTTTACAGCTCAGCCATTGGTGGGCTTCTGAATGTTGTTAGAGAGAGATGGTAATCAGAAGGGGAATTAATGTGTCAGACATGTTAATTTGTTTTTACTTGATACTCCATACCAAATAGCCTAAACAACTTGTTAACAATATACGAGCTCTTGTTCACACCAATCAAACCCAAAACTGAACAGAAACAATTGAATAATGAAAAACGAAGCAATGCAGTGCTGCCAACCCAATAAAGAATGGCACCACCTTATGCGCTGATCCAAAATATAAAGAATGTGCAAAACAACTATTACTATTTTTTGATGGTTATGCATATAATACTCTATCGTTACTTCATTTCCTGATAGTAAGGTCTTATAAGTCATCAACTAACTGTAAGCGGTACTTTATATGAATATCTGGTATAAAGTGTTCATTATTATCCGTAATAAGTCTAATGTTTTATCTCTGGATATGGTGACACTACCATACAACCCAAAAAATAATAATAATATCAGTGCATGGGAATGCAATGAATTCTTTCTATCTCACTCTAATGTTAAAATTGATGGCCACAACTAAATATCGAAACTTGACAAAAGCTTATTCACAAAAAGAAAAATACAATATAAATTACTTTCTCCCCATACAATGCATTTTAAGTGAAATTAGAGAATGTTTCCTTACTGCTACTCCTAACTGTTCCATTTCATCTAGCATCACACCAAAGCTGTATGGAAAGAAATATGCCAACATGGCACCAAAAATGCATGGTACAGATTTGATGGAAAAATAAGTCATTTTTATGTTCTTTAAATGAAAAGGGGGAATAACTAACTGCTCACAAAAATCTCTATAGCAAGATTTTCCCAAAATTCAAATCATACATTAATTTCACCATCATATTTTGCATATTTCATATTGGACTAATAATATCATTACAAATTTATATAAAAAAAGTTAAGAATTGAAATTTAGAATTTATTGTTCTTCTTAAGCACACTTTTCTTCACCATATTTTCCATTTCTCATGCCAAAAAAATCTGTACTACTGCTATCTAATAAGATGATAATCAGAAGATAGAGAGAGATGGTAATCATCTCTATAGCAAGATTTTCCCAAAATTCAAATCCTACATTAATTTCACCATCATATTTTGCATATTTCATATTGGATTAATAATATCATTACAAATTTATATAAAAAAAGTTAAGAATTGAAATTTAGAATTTATTGTTCTTCTTAAGCACACTTTCCTTCACCATATTTTCCATTTCTCATGCCAGAAAAATCTCTACTACTGCTATCTTTAATATTCTATTCCTATTCAAAACAGATGTAAACAAACTTGCTTTTTGTGCAGAATGTAAAGAAGCTAGCTATGAGGTGCATTTAAGTTGAAACTCATCATCTGGAAAGTTGCAGACAAAGACATTTTTTACAAGATGTACAGAGATCCACAACCCATCCTTATTATAAAATGAAAGTGCAGACATGGGATAAAAAATGCTAAATAACTTCAATAATAAAATTAATTAACTTCTTAAATCAAAATATGTTACAAAGTACTTTTATATATATTTTATATTCCTTAGTACAATTTAAAAATAAGTTTTAAATATATATAATAGAAAAACAGCAATCAAAACAAATTTCAAAATAGTCATAAAAATATCAATATTAATATTATACATTACATTACTAAAATTAAATAACACATACTATAATCCCCCCAAATCCCCACACTGAATTAAAGCCTAATTACTATAAAATATGGAATAATCATAAACATAAGATTAAGGCTGAAATTTTGGTATTACCTGGCTTTAGCTTCCTTTCCATCAGGTAAATACAATTTCAAAGTTGCAACAATGCAACCATGAACCACTACAAAATTATAAAATACATTTTAATTCCTATTAAGATATACAGTATATAAAGAAACTAATGTTAAATTAAACATTATTCGTTACCTTTCCTAGAATTTTCAACAACATCAACTCCAAATTGTACTATGTCACCTGAGCAAACTTCACGTGCTGGTGATTCTTCAGAGCCTTTACTAAGTCTCTGGTTATTGACAAAGGTCCCATTGCTACTCTTCGTATCCTGAAGATAGAACTATAAAGGCACACATTTTTAATATGCCATTTAAGAGAAACAGTAAGTAAATATAAATAAATAAATTAATTACAGCTTGTAAAAATAAAATTAACCTTAAAGATAACATATTGGCTTTTGAAATTAAGTTTCAATTTCCCTTTAGCCATAAAGCTAACAAAATTACTTTTTTCTTCAATTTTCCTGAAAACAGAAGCAGAATTTAAGCTTAAGTGGTATTTCAAATTACAAATACAACATAATGTTGATAAACTAAACTGAAGAGAATTTTTTTTTTTTTTTTTTTTTTTTTTTTTTTTTTTGTTTTGAGTAATACCAAGTTCTATTATACAATATTTTCCTCAAAATTGTGCCTAAAAAATAGGATTCTTCAAAGATATGCATATGTTTCACACAGCTACACAAAAATGAATGACTATATTAATGCTGAAAATTTTTATACATAAAAATAATGAAGCAAAATTATAATTTACCTTAAAATTGTCATACAAAAATAACAGTGGAGAGCATATGCTTGAGAGTCATAATGAAAGTTAATAAAATGTTTTCTTTGTATTCAATAATTCTAGTTTTCTTCTTACAGCATTAAATGTTAGAATAAAAAAATCGTGTTTTAAAGAAATCGTCTTTAAAAAATTATGTTCAGTTTTAAAACAAAAATGCAGTATGCCAAACAGCTGAACTTTTCTCTATTCCAAATAGAGACTTTCTTGCAAATTAATTTTACAGTGCATTTTAAAACACATGAAGGAGAGCATAACTGCTTGCAGGCAAAATTAAATGATCCCCAAATAATGAGAGTATAAATAATTTTATATTTAAAAATTCTACTTAGATACTACATGATTTTGGAATAATATTTGATTTAACACAAAAAATTCACTTTTTTAAATAAATTTTTTATCATTAGGAAACGTTTCAAATTATCCAAGTTCTATGGTCATATATGCAGGGCACTTCAGTTCTTCACAGCTTTAATACAAAATATAAGGAAATAAAACTACATACTATTTCAGTTTCACCACAGAAAAGATAAAATATGATAATATATTAAGGGGGAAAGCTAAAAGAAAAGGCATGAATGTAAAAAAGAGAATTAAAACAAACAATTTACATAACAGGTAGAGGTTACACCACTGAATGCAAATATGCAACCAAAATTAGCATAAAACCCAATCCTGCAGTCATATCTCAACACCTTAAAAAAAGGCTGCCAAACCTAGATATATGTTTGCAAGCAACAATATTTCTGCACAATCCAAGATAGCCAAAGCAGAAAGCATGAGCCGAAGATATTATCTGTACGATGAAATGCATTGGAGGACTGTCAGGATGCTGTAAGCTGGTGCAAGACAATCTGCTTTTGTGATAGAGCAGAATGTGCAATCGTAGTGTCATCAATCATCATCTTGTGATAATGATCCTCAATGTCATCATTATCATCGTAGTGTCATCATAGACTGTAGAATCATTACCAGAGGGATAAAACCCCTGTAGAAGATGTGGGTCTGGACACCGGAGGATTACCATAGCAGCACATGATTGCTTTCCGTTGCTATGTGAAAGACGGCATACATCACTATATACATCACTAACAGCATAGCAGCTGGCATTTCTCTGCTGTTGCTGGATAGCCAGCAAACTGTGTCGCATCTACTATATAGAGGTGGACTGCACGCCCGGTGACCTCTTGTTTGTGTTCCTTTATTCCCATCACATGTCAGAGTACAGTTGAACTGGGCCCATGAACATTGCAGTTGGACAGTGGGGCCAACTGCTACTGGGTGCCAAACATCATCGAAAGAGACCATTACAGAGATAGAGACTTACTTGTGTGGATTGAGATAGCAATGAATGGCTGGCCTGACCTCTGCCTGGTAGTTCTTGATGGAAGCTTGAAGTCACAACCGAAGTCAGCTGCCGAAGTCGCAATATAAAATCTACACCCTCTTGCGTATCCTTTTACTGCTGCAATGGGTCCAACACAAAGTTTATGGAGGATAACGGCCACCTGCATAGAGCTCAGGTGGTGCAGAGTTATATAGAGTGAAACCATTCCACACCTGCCGTGGTCTGCTAGATCACCGAAACCTGAATCCCAAAAACCAACATGTCATGCATGTCCCAACATGTGGATAGCAGGTCATAGTGCCAGGCACCCTCCCAAAGCTCCAACATGCATTATTACAGAAATGGGCATAACAGCCACAACAAGTGGTCACCGACACTACTGCCAGCTTACTTCATTGTCAAGCATGGATTCCAGCTAGAGGGTATAACTGTTATTAACGCGATGTTTCCTTTGCATATTCTTCCAACCCATTTGATCACTTGCGATGTGATGATCATAATACATATGTTTTTGTGTGTCTTTGTTATTTGTATTTGCTCTAGTAATGTCACACCAACCTCTTTGGTCAATTTCACACATATCCATTAATTAGTTTTTGTTTTATTCTATGTTTTACCTTTGCTTATCTTTTGAGCAGGAGCGTAAAAATAGTGACTAAAAACTTCAAATGCACAAAATCAGTAATACTTCAATGAATCAAACATGGCGAATACATAAATATTAGATTTACTTTGAAATCAGCCATAACTCATATGGTATGAGTCCCAAGGACATGGCTATCATATTTTTATGTAACATAATTTTTTATTTTGGATTTATAAATTTTAGTGTTCATAGACCACCTGAAGAATATCTTAATATTTTTTTCATTTTCAGTAAAACTCTTATCATTTCAACTTTAAAATAAAATTATTAATCATGTCTGTGAATAAAATATTTTAAAACATTTTCTCAGAATTACAATATTATTTAAGAGTCAGTACTTGACTATGACAACTATAGACACAATTTTCACCAAACAAATTTAAGATTAATTAGATTTCATACACGCAGTGCAGGATAAATCAATCAGTAAACAAGACAATTGTCTAGGGCCCATAATTTGGAGAGGACAGGCTTCATTACAACAACAACAAAACAAAACAAAAAACAAAAAAAACAAAAAGGAATAAATGTTAAAAAATAATAAAGTTTAAAAATATTTTAAATAAATCTTAAACAATAAAGAATTTGAAACAGTATATTTTTTACTTGAAAATAATGAAAAATTACGCTCTGTAAAATTCAATTTCTCAAACAGGCATTTATATGATAGCAATAAAATCATAGCCAGCTTAAATAATTTAAGATATTTATCTACATTCAAAATAAAGTGTGAGAAACTGTTAAAACTTAGAATTGTATTACAGCTGAAGCATATACATGATAATTAAAAAATACTTGACAAAAATGTAGAAGCAGGTAGAGAGGATAGAAATAAGCAGATTTTTTAATGGAATATGTGCCAAAAAGATGCATACAGATGATCCAAGATGCTGTTGAGTGGAAGGTAAAACTATCCTTCGGACCTAAATTATCATTCTCCATGTGAATTTTGTGAGTTATGCATCGCTCTCAAATACGAGGTAAAGATGCAACACATTACATTATGAAACTTATTCATTTGCATCTAACTTTACATTTTTGCCAGATGCTTTTGAACCACTTTATAAAAAGGAATTCTTAACTACTATAGGACCAATAACTGTCCAAGCCAATAACTGAAAGTTTGTGGTTCATCTTCCTACAGTTTTTCATAGACATTATAATGAATTTAAATATCAGGCTCTAATCAGTCATTCATTCATTGAAAATATCAATAAGACACTTACTCATTAATAATAAATAAATATTTGGTAGCTCATTCTCATAATATGTTTCTGTTAACCACATGGTTCCAGCTCCTATGCATAATCCAAATAAAATTTCACACTTCAGTTGGAATTAACTCTTCCTTCCGTACACTATGTAGAATGAGATAATTATTCATAAGCATTTGATACTGCTCAGTGACTTCACTAATCATATGATACTAAAGTTTTCAAAATAGTCCCTGTAGACATAAGCTGACATTGATTAAAAAGTAAAAAATGTGATGTGTAAACCACGACTTCCTTCTACAGAACATTAAACTATATGCATTTTTTCCAGCATTTCATTTAAATTTATTGAATTAAATCTACTTCCTCGATAGTGCATAAATTAGAATAGAATAAATGTGCCTTTTTAAAATTCACTATATTTATTTACCATAGCGATACTCTGGCACTAGGCTCACTTAAGAGACTTGCATCTCATTCATTTTATTACTCAGAATGAATTTTTAAAAAAAAATTGTCTGAAGAATTATCTAATCATTGCCACATGTTCTATTCAAATATTATAATAAATCTAAAACAATGTCTAAAAGAAATTAAACAAATAAAAAATCATAGTTTTTCACAGATTATTTAGTGCTTACCTACTGCACATGCACTACTCGTAAACATTCTGCTTTGTCCGAAATAGACTGACGACAGTATTTTCTACTACTATGAAATACTTATTTTCTCAAATTTCATAAGAGATGTATTTCTCATTCAATTAATCCAGTTCTTACTTCACGGCAAGGCAAAAATAATAAAAACACAAAATATCTTCATAAAAAATTTAAAGATATAGAAAGACATAAAACAGCAAATACAGTTAAAAAATTAATTTTCACAATTACAATTACAGTTTCTGTGCAAAACAAGCAATCGGCCAGCGGGCAAGAAGACAGATTTTTCGGTGCACAAAACTGAAAGTTTACTTTTGGTCTCGCTTGACAAAAAGACACTGAATGTGTAGAAACTGATTCAATGTTAACATAAATTTAGGTATTTTGCATAATGAAACTCGAAAGGCATACGAAATGAACGTGCGCCAAGATACATATTGGTGAGAGAAAGTAAAGTTCGTGAGCAATGCAGTATATTTGACTTTCACCTTAGCTACGTGGAGTGTATTCAGTTAGTACTTTCTCTTTTCAGGTACGGTGTCAAAGTATGTTCTTTTTTTTATTGCCTAAATAGGTAAGCCTGATGATATTTAGGACTGATGATGATTCTATGTAAGTTATTCTTTTCAA